AAACCAAAATGAATTAATCGTTATTCAGTCATTTCACAGGTCACACTTGGTCAAGATCCCATAATATTAAAATAAGAAATTCAAGCTGTAATGAAGGAATTGGCCAAAAACAAACAAACCAAGTCTCCAGAAATTCATAGAATGCCAACAGAAGTGAAATCTCTCAGCAAACTGATGCAGTTCTGGAAGCACTCACTAGTCGATGCTAGGGGTCAGCAGACTGCGGCCCACATGCCATGAGTGGCTCTTTGGCTCTTTAAGTGTACGTGCACATGACTGAAGTAAAATTGACAAATGTTAATGGATACTAGTCAGGTAATGGTTATTTCATTTGTTAAAATATGTTTTTGGCTCTAAAATAATTTTCAAATTGTTGTGAGGAACAAGACTGTCTCTTTCCCTCCAAAGTTTGCCGACTCCTGGTCTATGCCAAGAAATGTGTAAGGTAGCTATCTAGCCAGGTGACTGGGAAAGAGCCGTAGTTGTGCCGGTTCTGAAGATAGATCACTCAAGAGAATACGAAAATTATTGAATGATATCACAAGTAAGTAAAGTTTTGCTGAAGATACTTCAAAGGGCAGTTGCAGCAGTACATCGTAGGGGAGCTGCCAGCTCACGTCCTTAGAGACTGTCCTTGGAAAAGGGCCCCATGCTGGTTGAGGAGAAGGTCATCCGAAAGAAAAGGCTTCGGAGGAGATGGGCTCAAGTCTAACAACTAGTGTGGGGCTGCTGCACAGCCATGCCGTTTTGCTTGAAGTTTTGTACAGGACCGTTGTAAGTTGAAACTGATGTGACAGCACAACAACAACAATAGAGAGAGATGCATCCTATTTATTGCACTGTGATAAAAATACATGGAGTTTACTGTAAAACGATTCAGTGATGTAGAGTTATAGATTAAGTCATTTGACCCCACATTCCCCATTTTAAAAATGATTTTTATTGATATACAATTAATATTTCATACAGCCCAATAGTTTAATCTTATTAGGAAGAGTTGTGCAATCACCACCACAGTCAACTCTAGAACATTCTCTTCCTTCTTATACCCATTGTTGTTGACTCCCCATCTCCTCCCTACCTCCTTTTCCATGTACCAGGTAACTATTAAGTAATCCAGTTACTCTCTCCATAGATCCACCCATCCTGAATTTCACATTTTGAGAAAAACACAGATGACCAAAAAGGACCTTGCAACAATGATCAAATCAAACAGAAAAACCTTAATAAAAATAATCAGAAAATACCAAAACAACAGCAACAACAAACCCCCCAAATGGAACTAAATTCAAAAGAGGGCAAAGGAAACATCAGATGATAAGATGTTGCATTTCAGTCAAACGACAGCTGCCAAAATCCACTTTGCAATGTTCTCTGTCTGATATTGAGGTCATTCACATCCTTAGACTATGTCCGAGGAGATTCAACACAGACTCAATCCACATAGCGACCCTGCAAATGGATTTTGGGGTTCCACTAATCCATAGTGTTCCGCCAACCTTGTGTTTAGAATTTAAGCTCTGATACTATCCCCTCCTCTGGGTTTGGATTTTATGATTTACAATCTTTAGATCACACAGGCTGGTGTCTTTCTTCCATGTGGACTTAACTGGAATCCTCACTTATGATGACTGCTTGTTTTGAGACAAGATTTTAATACCCCAGATGTTATTCTTTCTGATAGCACTCATCTGATTTCTACACCACATTTTGCTACAGCATCCATATCTTCAGTAGCAACCTCCTCATGAGGGTGAGTACCAAGCAGGATCAGTTCACTAGAACTACTTTTTCTTATAGGTCTATGATCCAGTGAAAGCTCAAATGCCATTAATATATTTATGGCTATTATGTGTCCCTGGTTCACTTTAGAGACGTCATTATCAGTTTATGGAGTACATCATAAATCATCCCTATGGGGCATAAAGCAATTCTGTTGACAATGTTATTATTTTAGTCAATGGTATAGAGTTAAAAGCACCATTGAGAAAAGGAATTTATACATGTGTAGGACAGTTTTCAAAGCTGGGAACAAATGAATTGTTGTTAGGTGCCATAGAATTCGTTCGGACTCATCGTGACCCTGTGTACAATGGAGCAAAACGCTGCCCAGTCATGTGCCGCCCTCACAATGGTTGTTACGGTTGAGCTTAGTGTTACAGCCATTGTGTCAGTCTAGCTTGATGAGGGTATTCCCCTTTGACTGCCCTTCTACTCTGCCAGGGACTGGTCTCTCCTAAAAACTTGTCCAAAGGACGTGAAACAGGCTCACTAGCCTTACTCCTGGGGAGCATTCATGGCTTTTCATATTCTTTGCCAGCACCGTCGTGGAAATTCATCAGTTCTTCGATCTTCCTTAATCAGTGTCCACCGTTCACTGCATATAAGAAGATGGAAAATGCCAAGGCTTAGGTCAGGCACACCTTAGTCCTCAAAGTGACGTCCTTGCTCATCCACACCTTAAAGTGGCAGTGCGTTTGGTTAGGTTTTGGATGCCACATATTGATAACTATCAAATATTTTGGCTTTGTAATCGATCCCACATGTTAGTTTGTTCCTCTTTAAGCACTAAAACATCTGTTGACGGTGTTTATCACGGATTGAGTTTCTAAAGGTGCTATTACAGAGATAATGTTCTTTCCTTGCCCATCAGCTCTAGCTTTATGTGAAAATGTAAAATTTAACTTCTTATATGCACTTCTGAACAGACCCCTGGTGGCACAGTTGTGTACTGAAGGGTCGGCTGTTTGAACCCACTCGCTCGCTGTTCCTTGTGATTGGCTTCTGTGAACACTGAGCCTGGGAACCCCGCAGGACAATTTCACTCTGACCTGGAGGGTCTCTGAGTCAGTCAACTTTAGAAGGACATGCACTTCGATGTGTATGTGCTGCCTTTTAGTTAGGTTGTTAATTTAATTTTCTTTCGCCTCTGGAGTGTTTGGGGAGAATAAAAATGAGGTGTCAGTCGCATTTTGTAGACCAAGGGCACAAATGACTTGCCCTTTTACAAAGCGGCTTTTAGAAGTCAGTGGGAAAATGAAGTGAAAGAGAATGCCATGTTTCCACAGCTGTTTGAAGCCTTCTCCTACTCCTGGGTTACATCAAGCACTTGGGAAGGAGCCTCTATTGTGGTTTCCCATTTTACTATTTCATCACAGTTGCTTTCACTGTTTGAAATGTCAACTGAAATGTTAGAAAACCTCTCTGTTTTCATCCACGTTGGCTGGAACACCTGTTGTGGGATGAAATGGCCTTAAACAGAAGTGAGGCTTTTTGTAATTTATGGAGATACCAGAGGGAACCATTTGTCTCATTTTTGTCTAGTACTGCGTCCTTCTTGATCTTTCCTTTCCCATATGGTCTTTTGAATATCATATTCATAGATTCAAAGCACTAACACACACATGCGCTTGTCGAAGAACAGTTGACGTCTGAAGTGTGTTCACCTGTAGTCCCATGAATGTTATGTAGTTGTTAAATAGGCTGATCTAGTATTTCTTGTTCTTTTAATATTTTGTTGTGCATCAAATGAGTAATGTTTTCTTTGGAGAAGTAGTTAAGTTACATAGTTACTTGTTATCTTACCCTTTTTTTGGTATGTGTTTTAGACAGCCATTATAATGAGCCCGAAGTATGACAGATTAGCAAGTGGAAAGTGGAACAAGAATTAGAAGGGGGAAACAAAAAACTGTGATGATAACAAAATAGGGCCAGAAATAAAATGGAAATTATTTACCACAATATCTTGTCTTCTGTTTTACCCTAACTTGGTAGCAGTCAACAGAGAGCAAGAATCTATTTTTGTTGTACACTTTGCTTCCTTTCTGCTCATGATTTTCAAAACACTAAAATTGTAAAAATCACATTATGCCCCCATACCCTACCCTTTTGCATGAGGTGTTACTAAGAAGTCAATATATGGGTCAGACTTGGGGCCCTGGCCTTTCCCATATTCCATGGTATATCCAACCACCTTTGCTAAAACATTCTATTGATCACTCGGGTAATTGGGTTTAGAATGGAAATGGATTGACTCAGCACCATCGCCACAAATGGAAGGAAA